ACAAAGCAATTAGACGATCCGATGACGGGCCTCGCGAACGCCGCGCGAGGACACGTGTAAACGCAACCCGAATCGCGCGTATTCCCGTGCGTTGATTCGCCCAAAGATTCGCGGCGGAACCGCCATCCCGTACGAGCACGCTGGGGCGCGACCAAGTCCGCCTGTCCTACACGTGCTCGTGCGCGGTGAGGATGACCCAACCACAGCTATGACACCATGACGCGATCTTGGAGCCCAGACTCATCCTACAACCCGAATTATTTCACCCCTTGGATAAACGAACTCTTAAGACAACGATACCCCTGTCACATAGAAAACCGACTGTGCCCCTGGAAATTTCACTGCGCCACCTCTAATGATCCCCGGTGCTCTGACTTCCCTTCCCCCGACCACACCTACTACTTCATCTACCCGGGATTCGTCGTTATCACCACTAGTTTCCCTCCGTTTCGCCTTCTTCTCTCGTATCATCAACTCAGCGTCGTTCCATGGCCGGCCATAGCCCCCTATTGGCCCAGCACGCCCTGCGAAAATTGCCGTCGTAATATTGCACTTCTAGGCCCACATCCCACTCCGATCAGGAAGTCGCGCCGGGCGTGAGGTTGGGCGTCACAAGATTGTCTTCATGATGATCCCTCTGATAGATTGAGCAACATAAAGCCATTGGATCTCTTTTTCATTCTCGGTGCGATGTACTCAAGAGACAATCCATTCATCCGTCCACTCGAACTCCCCCTTCGTAATCCGTACCCAGTGTTGTTGAAACCAGTTCCATATTCTTCTAGACGTCGGGCAAGTTAGCCATAGGTGCCTATCATTCTCCCATACCCAACCGCACCTTATGCACTTTTTTGACAATAACATTCCATTTTGTGCCCAGTTGATTGTAGAGGCTATTGCTGAAAAGAGTTGAATCCAAAGGAGGCTCGCTAGCTTCTGAGAGGGAAGCCCTCTGAACTGTTGAAATAAGGAATTGATTTGAATTGTGGATAATGTCAGCAGATCATTCTTCTGTCTTCGCATGATGAGGGAGTCACAGGGGGGGTTTCTTTGCCTTTTCTCGTAGAAAGGAAGTACCAACCTTTGAGGAATACTGGCTCAAATTAGCCATGTCCTTGTTGATAGCCCACCCCAGAGTTCGAAAGTCCACTGCAGCTAACTTCAAAGGTGCAGGGCCTTGTGGCAGCTTGATAGTCTGTATCAAGGTACCCCCTGCTGAAGCCTTCTTGTAAGATACCGCTGCAGCTACTTCCACTAATCCTGCCAGCGAATCCAATCTGCAGTCGGCTATATAAACCAGTTTCTTTGAGAAATTAAAGGCATCAGACATTTTTCATACTTTTCCAGCATATCCACCCGATCCCAAGTCAGTTGTAATCTGATAGATTTCCCTTGCATGCTCATCGACATTTTTCAGCCATATCCCTTCCGTTGGAATAGTGATTTCAGTCAGTCGAGTTTTCCAAGACCACGGAATGACATTGATAAGGAACTGTAATCTTTCCCCTGCCAATCTCAGTCTACCGAGCTTCTCTCTCAATTCCTTCTCTGTTCGCCACAGACTAGCATCCTCATTTCAAATGTCTCGAACTCTAACTACTCCTCTTTCAATCCATGCTTTACCAAAGCAACCCGGTGACTCATGGGCCGAAAAAACTGCTCCCGAAGCATCACAGACTAAAGGGTTCTCGAACAGTATCTGATTAAGAATAGAGTCTCTAGTTAGCGGATGCATTCTTTGCGAGGGGAAAAATCTATGCCCTGCAAAAATGATGTTTCTCCAAAAGGAGGATTTGGGCCTCTTGTTAGTGTAGGATCTAATCATGAAGCAGGGTAGTACGTCCTCATCCCGACTAAGCGTCTATTCTTCTTTCAATATGTATATAGCCAGTAAAAGCCAGGGAGGTTCGTTCTCAGCCATTAGCGCCTTGACTATCCATTTAGCTATAAGTGCCCAATGTTGTCTTCGCGGGTCAAGTAACCCCAAACCCCCTTCTGTTCTAGGAAAGGTAATGGTTTCCCAGACAATCTTGGAAATAAAGCCCTCTTGCTCCTCCGATTCTGGTTTCCACAATATTCTGGCTGCCGCTCTCCTGATCTGCTTATAGGACTGTTCGCCTAGAAGATGGACTGCCAAAGTATACCATAATACTGCAAAACCTGCTGAGGAGATCACAAGTGCTCTTCCCACAAGAGACAAGTGCCTTGTGTGCTTCCAACTTGATAGTCTATTGGATACCTTTTCCACCAGTATGTTGTTTTGAAAGGAAGCGTTGTTACTTAAGGAGACCTTCACTGCAAGAAAACGATCAGATGCATCTGCAGGTACTGCCTTGAGACTCCACTTAGCCTTCAGTCGAAAACCTTCAGGAAGAAAATATACGAACTTTTTCCAATTTATAGAAGCCTCCGATAATACGCAATAAGTATTTAGAATTTTTCTAAGTGTTCCTAGACTATATTTGGTATTCTTACATGCAACTGTTAAATCATCCGCCAGTGCATCTGCTTTCAACTGTTTTGTAGGGGAGTTTCTAAGCCCTTCAATTTGGTCATTCATCCTGATGTTGTCTAGCAGGACTTCCAGTTGGAGGACAAATAAGAGTGGCGCAAGCGGAAAGCCTTGTCGTAGTGATCAAGTCAAGGAGAATTTCTTGGAGATTTTCCCATTAACCATCACAGCAGCGGTTGTTGAAGAGTACATTGTTGCTACCCAGTTATTAAAATTAGCACCAAATCCCATCTGCTTCAAGGTT